GATTACACGTGCACCGCAATTGCTAATTTTGCTTTCTTTTGGTGCCTTGACTTTTAGAAAGAAGTTACGTTTAGGACTATGTTAGGCTTATGTTGCTTAGCTATAGCTAGAATTGCGATTCGAGCATGCAAGATCTCTTGTTGGTACATGTTTTGCCTACTTTTGAATAGTGAATACTTTTTGTGGGTTTTTCCCCTTATGGTTGCTGATTGTTGTTCCATTTCCATCATTACTCTCTCTCATTGCTGGCTCTGGGGAGGTCAAATTTTACATAATAATTGACAGATAAAGTGTGGTTTTTGACATTAATGAGGTGGAAATTTAATTGCGATTGTTCATGTGGGATGAGTAAGTCAATATTAATTCTTTTCTCTCGTATATTAGAAATTTAGAACAAGTTGCTGTGCTACTCCAGTGTAGCTACCTACTGTACCTAGCACATTGTAGTTGATACTTGTCTGGTAGATTTATCACAGTTATAAATCCAAGATTGCATGCATTGTCTTTTAAGTAGACTGGATAGTAAGTTTTCTTGGTAGAAATCAGTATATCAATTAACAAAATAGGTTTAAGTCTGATTCAGACATTGATTACCAGTAGTCTAGTGGTTTTTATGAAATTTATTGGTCCTGTATGATGACATAGACATGTATAGACTATATACTATGTAGAAATATTTGAGCACTAGTTGTCTAGTTGGTTAACATTAACGCTTAGGTTTTAGTTTTTCTGGCGTTGATGCTCTTTAATCTTGCCTTATTATTCTAGGTGGAGATAAACCTTAGGTGATATCTTGAACAACTCATTGACAGATTAGATTGCGAGAGTGACATTGGAGCAAATATTTGATAGTGTTACCCTTGCAAATAAATTTTGCTGTTGGATCAATTTTTTGTCGATATGTGCTGTCCTAGTGTGTCGCCATAGTTGTAGAAATTTGGCTTAGCCTCTCAAATCATTAAAATAACATTTATATCAGCTGTGAATTTTCTGCTTCTGATTTCATAGAAGTTATGAATTAAAAAGGCCAATATGTATTGATTAGATGCACAATTATCGTGTTGTTCTGTTGACTTACCATTACCTTGTAATCTTTTTTAGTCATAAGAACTGCCCAATTGTGCGTGCTATTTTAGTTATGCTCATTGAAAAAGTTTGTTTGTTTTAAAGAATTGTGGATGTACTGATGAGGCTAGAAGAATTTCAGTATTATCAAATTCTAAGGATAAATATACCGTATACAAATATCTGCTAAAGGCCTAGAACTGTTTTGCTATCATGTCTGAGAGAGTATGAATTCCACATTATTTAAAATGCCGTATGGAGGCTGAAAATATTTAGTTCATTATGGTGGATGTTTTTAAGCATTTATATTATAGAACTATAGCGGTATTGTCATGTTAAAAATTTTACCGGAATGGAGAAATCTTTTGGAGAGTATATCAATACTTCCCCCGTTCTTTTTTACTTGACCCGCTTTGACTTTTACACTATTCACCACTCCTCCTTTGACCGTCTTTTGTGAATAATTTGTAAGGAAAAATATGTTCATGTTGGATATTTTGAATTCGTCTCAAAAAGTACTATCATAATATATAACTTTTATAATTTTTACTTATGGAGAATTAAAGTTATTAATCGTTGAAGTTTTACATTGGCAAGCGTGATAAAAGAAACAGGTCAAGTAAAAAAGAACAGAGGAAGTATATGTTATGAGTATTTGGAAGTGAATACGAATTAGAGTGTCATTTTGAGACCGTGACGTCTTGTACGCTTTCATAGTTTCTCACTCTGTGCTTGGTATGAGGACTTGTCAAGCTTCGTTGACTGGATAGTTAAAAATAATTTGGTTTGCTTCTCTGTTTCATAGGTGACAGGCAAGTTCTTTTTGCTGATAAAGTTTTGAAGTTCACTAGTACTGGGAAGATGAAGAGGCGCATCCTGATAGTGACAGACTTCGCTCTCTATGTGATTGATCCTGAGAGTTATGCCCTTAAACGGCGGATTACCCTCTCAGCAGTAGAGAAGCTGTATCTAAGTAAATTATCTGATAATTTCTTCGCAATTGTCATTCCGACAGAATATGATGTCCTGATGGCGAGCACTAGAAAGACTGAAATTGTTACTGTCTTGGTGGATGCTGCAAAGAATACATCTAACTTTGAGATTGATGTAATTTTCAAGAACAGGTAATTTTTCTCATCTCGATTTGGCTCAAAACTATATCTCCAGCTCCTGCACTTTACTATGTAGTATATTGCGCCTAATTCATGATTTCAGATCTGCGGAATCTCTTTTTTGATGATATTTGGTTAGTGCTAAATGAAGTTCAAATCTCAATGGACTATGTTTATATGATCATTCTGTATACTAAGAATTTTTTAATTGTGGTGCTTCTCAATCACCCTAACCCGTCCTTTCTTCCTTATTTGCTTCATCTTGTATGTGTGTAAGCTTCAACATTTATGTGAAAGTGCAGACATAGGCTCTCAGTCAAATAGATCTCTTATTTTCTGCATTAGTAGCAGCTTCCTTAGGGCTTCCCAAAGTTTCACCTATCAGGGATCCTTTCGCCTTTCAAATTTCACTGAATCACATCTTACTGTTAGCACTTGAATTTTATGGTTATTAAACAATTTTGATCAGTGTCTCCCAAATGGTGAGCTGCTTTTAAGATTTTTATGAGATGCTGTTTGAAGGAATTTTGTTAGGATGATGACTGGCGTTTATTGATCTATTAAAGTAAAGATGCATTGCCAGCTAGGTAGATGCAAGGTTTGAATATTGGGGGCAGGTTTATGATTGTGGAAAGACTTCTGTAAAAGGAATTCTTGGGGAAGGAAGCAAGAAGATTGGCTTATGCCCTGTTTTTTCAATAGATTTTCGTTTAGCTGAACTGATTTTACTAAACAAAAGTATTTTTGGCTGATTTACTAATGTAGTGATGTTTTTGTTTAATGTGGCTACTTATTTATTGATCAAAACTGATAAATGACAACTTATTTGTGCATTACTTAGTGTCATAATCAGTTCTTGTTATTGCCAATTTTATGTTTCATTATTTGTCATATCTGATATTGTTTTGACTGTTAATCCTGCTATCTTTTTTCCTATAGATTCCAGTATAATCCAGCAGCTGATTTGGTGAAGGAAGTCCATTTCGAGGAAGTTGAAGGTTTGTCTTACTTCCCCTTGTATCTATTCATTTATGAAATTTCTCAATTCCAGGCAAAATGTCCCATATTCAATTTGGTTCATCTAATTTAATATACTGTCTTTGTGTGCGTGTTTTTTAGGTGGTGTAAAGACGCAAATTTTACGCAAGCCAGAGGAAGATTAGTTTGGCTTACTTAGAGTTGAGATTTTTTAGTGTTGCGGATACATTGCTGTATGATGACTGATGTCTTTGGGTTTGCTGGTAGGCTCTGCATCATGTATCCAGGTCCTCGATACTAAAACCTTAATACTACGCAACGTGTAAACATGTACATCATTCTTTGTATTGTTTTCATAATTTTTAATCTCATGTTTGTTCTTACGGAAATTTTAGATGATCCAAATGTGTAAATGTACTCCAAAATCCATCATAATATTAAGTGAGGTTTCCAGTATTCAAGAGGGTGACAGGGTGTCCTCAGGTGGTGGTAGTTTATTGCAAAAATTTGATCTGGTTTTGGGTTGTGAGCATATTAATAATGAAGCTCACATGCAACCCAGTATTCGAAGGTGAAAACCCATCAATGAAAAGTCTTGATATTAGTAACATTTGGAAGTAATGAACACCAAAATTGCTGTTAAATCCGACCCTTCGCTAAGAGTATTGAATGTTTTGATTTACTCGTGTTAGTTATAAATACTATATTGAAAATCCTTTTTTGAAAGAAACTATCTGTGTTACCTGTGTAATATATATTGGGAGTCATTCAATGGTGTTGAAAATATAAGAATATGATTTGTTCAGCTGTTGAATTTTCAGATTGAAACTTTAAGGGGATGTTTGATTCGTTAATTGATATAAGCTTGAAACTAGGAATAAAACCAGGGTGTTATATGGGTATATAACTTGTTTAATACCATGTGGTTGGACGCTTGGTTTCATTTGGAAATGAAATGAGCCATACTCACCTCTCATGTGAGTTTCTAAACCGCATACTTTGTGAAATGAAGTACGAGTATGGGTTTAGAAATTGAAATTTCTTAAACAATCAATAGGTGGTCGTATGGGTTTCAGTCATTCTAACTTTATGAGTACTACGAGTATATACTTTTGTATGAACTAAACACGCCCTGATGGATTTTGTATTAAATTTTTTCCTTAACATTTTTTTTTTCCTCATAAAATGTGCTGGGGAGATCATCAAAGTGTTCTGACGTGTTCTCTAAAGTGGGGCAAGTAATGTTCATACTCCTGATCCAAGACATACATGATTGTATAGTTAAACAATCCTAACTTTTCCAGCCAAAAGAATGTTCATGTTGACAACGAATGATTTCCCTTCCTTTTCCTTTTCTTTTCTTTTTATGAAGTCAATCAAAATAGACAATCAGGGAACTTAATATCAAAAGAAAGTGATCCAATTTTGAGGATGGTATCTATTTATCTAAGGCTTTGAATCAGATTTTGTCTACGTCACTGTCCCTTGTGCGTTCATATTAGTTATCTAAAAAAACACATGCGTTTAGACTTTCGAAACCCTTGGTGGTGGTTGTCCTTATCAGCATAGCTAATTTATCAATACTATTTCCAGACATTTCTTTTAGGCATCAAAATCTGAAACATAAAGCCGCAAAAAGATTCAAAAACCAGGAAAGAAGGTAGCTATATTATTGACTTGGGTTGTTTACATTTTGCTAAGAATCTTGGAGGGAAAGAATAATGCTCTTAGCTAACTCTTTGACAATTAGCTGGCTTTGGTTGGTAAACTACTTTCATCCCACTTTCTCCTTAAAAAAAATACAGAGTAAATAATGGACAATAATTATAATAATAATCTAGACCATGTGCCTCAATTTGTAAGCAAAAATTATCATTTCCAAAAAAGAAAAATCCAACAATATTTGTTACAACTAAATTTAACTACTAGTTCAAGCAATCTTATTGTGGGGTTACATAGGTAGATGATCCTGTTTCACCTGTATGTGAAAGGCCTGTTGGTGTTGGAGTTGAAACCTCTGATGATGGGTGGGTGTCGGTGCTCTCTCGCCGTATGTCCTCCACCATTTTGACAACGTCCGACATCTTTGGCCGTTTCTCCGGGACTCTCTCAGTGCAAGCCATACCTAGTTGTAGCATTGTCACCATCTCTTCCTCTATGTTAGGAAACTTTAATAGCTCTACATCAAACACTTCAGCTGTCCACTCTTCTCTAACCACAGAATACACCCATTTTACTAGGTGTGTACCTTCTCCTAGGGGAGTTTTTCCTGTGAGGAGTTCTAGTATCAGGACTCCGAAGCTATAGACATCAGACAGTTGAGTTGCTTTCCGAGAATCTGTGATTTCTGGAGCCCGGTACCCTATAATTCGTTGGATTGGTGGGACTGTTGGCGTGACTATGGTTGCTAAACCAAGGTCCGATACACAACCGTAGTTTTGAGGGTTTAGGAATATGTTTGAGGACTTTATGTTTCCATGGACTAGTTTTCCACCATTTTGAGAATGGATGTGAGCAAGGCCTCTTGCTGCACCTATAGCGATTTTAAGCCGGGTTTCCCAATCCAATGGCAATCGATTTTCTTTTTTCCCTGCAAAACATATTAAGAGCTTCTTTATATAAACAACTCTTAAATTCAATGAAAACAAAACAATATACAAAATCACATACCATGTAACATTGTTGATAAGCTGCCCTGTCTGAAATAGTCATAAACCATGAGGTTCTCATCTTTGGAATAATAGTATGCTCTGAGAGCAGCAACATTCTCATGCTTAATGTTACCAACAATCTCCATCTGCTGCTCGTACTCTCGCTTTCCCACACTCACTTCCTTGAGTCTCTTCACTACCACGGTGTTAGAGTCCTCTAGGGCGGCCTTGTACGTTGTTCCAAACATGCCTTTGCCAAGAACCTCTGCTGAAGCCCTTAAAAGATCCTCCAAGTCAAATGCCATATTTGAGCCTTCAAAAAATGTGATCCTTGCATTCTTCTCTTCTCGGCTTTCTGTAGGCAACCTTTTCTTCTTTGAGTAGAATTTCTCCGTCTTTTGTGCCTCTGCATCACTGTCTTGCTGCTTGCTTTTTTTGCTCGACCACAAAACAATCATGCACACTGCGATCATAACAAACAAGACTGCAGCACCACCTATGATTATTCCTAACAATGCTGTCTCACTGATCTTCTTGGCCTTATGAACTGAACTGTCAGGTGGGACAGATGATGGTATCGGAGGAATAGCAACCTCCTTCGAGGTAACATTATTGCCCGAAAATGATGAACTTGGAAATCTCAGAAGAGAATTAGGAATACTCCCATTCAAATGGTTGTTGGAAAAGTTAAGAAACCTCAAACTTGGGATCCCCAAATCAGGAATTTGACCAGAGAATGAGTTGCTTGAAAGATCAAGAGTTGTAAGCTGGGTTAAATTCGAAAGCGAAAGAGGAATACTTCCATTGAAGTTATTATTGGATAAATTTAGTACCACAAGATTATGCCAAGCAGATAAATTCAAAGGTAGGGGACCAGAAAACCTGTTGGACTGTAGATACAAAGAAGTCAAGTTACTCAACCTTGAAAAATCAGATGGAACAACACCTGAAATCCCATTGTTTCTAAGGCTAAGTGTTTGAAGGAAAGAAAGCCGGCTAAGTGTGTTAGGAGGGATCGAGCCTCGGATTCCGACTCCCGGTAGTCTGAGAGCAATAACCCCTATCTGACGATCATCACAAGTCACACCAGTCCAACTGGTGCACAAGGGAGTGTTCTGATCCCAGTTCAGATACCGCGAATGTGAAGTGTTTTGTAGGAAATCAAGCAAGGCTTGCTTGTCTTCCCATGGCTCACCATAAACATGTAACAAACACAACCCAAAGAAGATGACTGATCTGAATAAGAATCCAAATTTGCCCATTTTTTTTCTTCTTTCTTCTGAAATGAAGAATCCAGGAAACAGATTTTTCTACACTATTTACTGATTCTGACAATCTGGGTCATAATCTGATAAAATATAAGGATGATGTAACATCAGAATTCAGAAGGACAGACATATATAGTTATTTTATGTTGAATGCATTTAATTGTAAAACGTTAGGAGTAATAATTTCAACGGTCATTTTTGTCTGCAAGTATTAAGAGCAATATTAAGAAAATTCAGTTACGGAATTACTACTACTGTTGGTACAATTTTTTCTTAAGTTAGGTGATTTTTTTGGTTTTCCAGGAAATATGTACCTAATTTAGGCTAGAAACTTGTTGCTTGTACACAAAAAAGTTCCAATCTTTTTGCTGAAAATTGGCAAAAAAAAAAAAAAAAAGAAAAAACTTTTTTCCCGGGTAACAAACACAGAATTTCCCACTATAAAGTCTAAGGTCGGACCTCGGATTGAATCTCGTCTACATCACTACTCGTTCAGCTTTATATGCACCAACCAAACAAAGAAAGGAGAGGGAAAGAGAAGAGGTAAACTTACTTAGTGATGATCAGATAACAAGAAGACTGATAAAGGCAGAATATCCATATTTGTAATTCTGTTTCATTTTTTTGTTCCTGCCTTTTGAAAATTCAACTGCAGGAAAAAAGTAGTTGAAGTTGAGTGAGAAGACAAAGTAAAACAGCAAAGTTGTAAACTTTTTACACTCAGAAAGTGGGTTTGTACCAGAAGTTCATAATCTGCAACAAAATCAACAATGAGTCTGACTTAATTCTCTGAATTCAATCACCCAAAAAAAAGAAAAAAAAAAACAGAGAATTATGAGACAGAAAGAAAATGATGAGAGAGAAACAAGAGCATGTGAAATAGAAATAATGTTTATTGCTTTCAAAAGGGTAAGTCATGAATAGAGAGAGAGGTCAGCCAATAGAAAATTAATTATTACAAATTGATGATCATTAAAGGAAACTTAAATAATGAAATTAAATTAATAAATTGATTAATTAAGATGAATTAAGATGGTAATGACATTAAATTTTAGTGAATATAATATGGGTTTGGTTGTGTAAGTTCATGAAACTATAATCATGATTAGATAAAATAATGTTGTGAGAAATATATGGGCGTAGGAAGGGGGAGATGCATGTGGGGACAAAATTGAGACAACTAAGTAAATTGGAAATCCTTGTTTGCTAACTTCTTTTCTTGCTTTCTTCAACATGACCATTGCATTTACTCCATTGTTTGGTCTTACAACTTAAATTCCTTTTATTATTGGAATTATAATATAGAAATTTATAATGTTATTACTTTGATAATTAAAATAGCTTCCATGTGAGCACCCTGGTCTTTGACATGTACGAGTATTCATACATCGAGTGTACGATATTTTAATGTCTCCTATTATATATTGTCTTTATAATCATACTCCGTATATGGGTATTCTTTTGTTAGCAAGTAATACATTGAGTGTACAATAATTATTACTCCGAACTTTGTATCATTCACTATGCATAAGTTACTCTTGAAAATCATTTGGAAGTTTTGTAATAGGGTTAAACACTGAACTCTCTTGGCACTAAACCCATATCCATCTTTATATTTGAGATATTGTGGTAGTTATTTGACCATAAATCTTTCATTAGTCTAAATGAATGAGGGTCAAACAACCATTATTCTTTTGTTAATTAGCTAGTCATGCATCGAGTGTACAATAATAGAAACACCATATTATGCACTATGCATAGAATTACTCTTGAGAATCAGATGAAAAATCCATAACAAGGGTAAAACACAAAAACCTTGTGGCACGTACTAGACCAACACCTCGTCTTTTATAGTTGAGGTATTGTGGTGGTTATATCACCACAATTCTTGCATCAATTTAAATGGATGAGGTTTACAATTTTTTTTTTACACAATGATAAGATATGAAAGGTTGATAAATAATGTAAAATTTTATCAAACTTACTTTTGTAGTAGTTTAAAACATTATGACTCTAACATTGCCACACTTTGATTAAATAGAGGATCTCCCATTTGGCCGCAAACTTAGTGATAGACAACCAATATAACACAAATGGGTTGTTGGATATCCCTTTTTTATATTTATTTGGTAACGTGGTGATCGGATCTTGGACCTTCAATAACTATCCAAATTTATTGTATTACAAATAAAGCTTTCATATTTTTATTATGTTCACCTACCTTATTATCTAAAATTAATGTAAATGTACGTATACATATGAAATAATAATGAAAATTCCTCAATATAATTATAAAAGTCCACTTCATTCACCAATAAAGTCTTTTTCAATGGTTTAAATTTACTACAACTACGAGGTATATTATTTGTGATAATTCCACCTTAATTCAGAAAAGTTGCAAATTAATTGTAATTAAAACATTAATTATATTGATTATTTTTGGCCAAAGTAGAGAGTGAGTGGGATGAAAGTGATCACTAGTTAATTGAGGGCTCATGTGAGGATCACTAGTTAATTTTACGGTAATTATGCAATAGTTGATTAGTGTAAGCGACAACAAGATATTCTATTTTTGTGGAAGATTCGGATATAGTTATTTAATTTATTTTTTTCATACTTCTTATTATGTAAGTATATCATACAATGTATCAATGGTGGAGATGGTAATGTTGAGAAAGTTGATCAATCAATCCTTGGGGGAGTGAATTGAAAGAAACTCTCGGGTCTACATATAAACTTCGATGCTAAAATAGGTATAATATCAACAAGGTATTATAGTTCAAACAAGTGTGTTTGCAATACGAAGTAATAATTGTTGCATGTAATAGTGGTCGACTACTATTTACATGACAGGGTGTGACAACTTGTAAGATTTGATCTCATCCAAAAAACCTAAATTGATCTCTTAAACAAGTTGGCATATTAAGTCGAGATGGTGAAACTTTATTATCCACGGTCTAGATTTAGTCCTTGTTATAGTTCTTGTAATGTTAGACTCTTATTTATATAGAGTACTACTTTTCGGTATAGTAAGTTAGTAATAGTAACCCATATAACATGTGTGATAATTCTGATAATTAAAAATTATGAATAAGGGTTTGTTCTCTTACGTTGAAATTCAGTTCAGTTCAATTCAGCTCAGTTCAGTTTAGTTCAGCTCAGCTCAGTTCAGCTCAACTCCTAATTTCCTTCTCTTATAAAATATTCAGTTCAATTCATCAGTTCAGCTCAGCTCAATTCAGTTCAGTTCAGTTCAGCTGAGTTGAGTCAATGAGAACAGGCCCTAAGTGAGCAACATAGTTGATGGAATTGTAGTTTTCGAAATTGAAATTTTTGATGAAATACTAATTAGAAGACTGTGCTATACACATAACAACCAACATGCATGGATAATGGAGGTACGAGTTCATCGATCAACAACCATATTTGTCGTTAGCCTTGCAATTATTCAATGATACGATTGACAAATAATAATTTATCATCAAATTCCGCAACCCTCTACCACTTCTTTACGTTATTACTAGCCACAAAACTTCAAAAATTTGCATCTTCTATTAAATATAAACATGCAATATAATTAATCTGAATAATTTCAGGACGACTTTGAATTTAATTAATTAATTTATATATTTAAGCTTTTTTTTGTGTTTAGAGAGTCACAAGGGCAGGGGTGAGAGTCAATCCCAGAACCTCCTAGGATCGGGAGGGAAGCTCTAACCACTTGAGTTATTCCTCACTCTCTTATATAGTTAAGCTTCGGTTGTAACTAATGTTAGTAGTAATTTAATTGAACGCTAAAGTCACGGAATTCTATATGTTTATAACGAGTCAACGCGTACAGTTTTTACCCACTAACTGCTATACTTTTGTTTTATGCGAACAGAAAAAAGATAAATTGATTAAATTGGACTAATATAACAACAACATCAGAGTGGCGCAGCGGAAGCGTGGTGGGCCCATAACCCACAGGTCCCAGGATTGAAACCTGGCTCTGATATTCTAGAGAAAGCTTCCATCGCCCAAATTTTTTGTTTTTTTTTATTTCCAATGATTTTTTTCCCTCTCACTTTTATGAATCAAAATTTCTAGGAATTAATTAATCAGAGTTTCTAAACAGTAATGTAATTTTAATCAAAAAGCTTTAACTAAAGGAATCAATACAAACAAGTGTTAGTTACTTATTTAAAACAATTAAATTTCAATACAAATTAGGTAAAAATTTATCAGAGTAATATAATTTTAATTAAAAAAAAACTTAATTAAAAGAATCAATACAAACAAGTGTTAGTTACCTATTCAAAATAATTAAAAATTAATACAAATTAGGTGATGCAAAGATTTCATGACATTTTAGACTTTGTCTAAAATTCTAAATGCTTTGATATACTTTGATTTTGAAAATGAGAAGATGAAGTAGGGATATACAAAATATCATTTGTGTTACTTTTGAAAAAAAATTAGAAAAATCATTTGTGGGGTCAAATCAGTCATTAAATTTGTTTTCTTTGGCAAATTATGTTATAAAAACTGAACTGCTAAACGTCGCTCCCATTTTACATACTAACGCTCCCTTTTTTACATGAAAGGACGACATTGCCCTTTGTGTAAATTGTAGTGCATAATGATATAATATCATTCCCGACCCCTCCACTTACTACCACGTGGTAAAAAAAAAATCCCGAAGTACCACATCCGACCTCGGCCCACCACATTCGATCTACCACAAAAATCCAAGTTAATTTTTTTTTAAAAAAAATTATTAAGCATTAGCAACAGATTTAGGATGATGGATGTCGACAACATTCGGACACCGAAAGTTTCGTCGGAGAATTCCGTAATAAGTCGTCTTACTTTTTTTTTAAAAAAATTGAAATAAAACATCCGCCTAAAATTTTAGGATCCACCTAGGTAGATCCACTTAAAAAATTAGGATCCACCAAGGTGGATCCTAATGTTTTGGGCGGATGTATGTAGTGCTTTTTTTTTTCTTTTTCTTTTTTCTTTTTTTCTTAAATTGATTAATTAATCAAATTTACTATTGTAATCTTTGTATTATTATTATTATTATTATTATTATTATTATTATTATTATTGTTATTATTATTATTATTATTATATTATGATTAGTATTAATTTTGTGATTAGAGTAATTAGTATTATTATTTTATCAAATTTATTATTGTAATCAAATTTTTTGTTTTCCTGAGTTTACTTAATTTTTTTTAGAGAATAAAATGAGAGTAAATGAGAGTATGAGAGTGAAGTACGAGAGTTGTGAGTACCGTGAAGTGAGTCGTGGCTATTTATTTGATAGGGGTAAAAATGGAAAATCTTAAAAAAATGCGCGCGATGCCTAGTAAAAGGGGAGCGACGTTTAACAACCCCCTATAAAAATTGTGATTTCTTCGTTCTTATTACATTGACGGTTTAATATCCGGTAAATAAACCAATCAACTTTGACTTCCTTCAATATTATTTGTAAATTTGTATTGATAAGTAAATAGATTGTGAAAAATGTGGGTGGACCTAAGTTTCAAGTCTTATATGCAATTATGCACCTGCTCTCCTCGCTCGAAGCAACCAAATGAAACCTACATGAACTTAAAATACATATAAATAGATCTTTTCTAAACCCAAACCATCTTAAATTGCACATCAGATGACTATAAATTATAATCGATTCGAATCAAAATAATAAATAACTTTACTTCAGTTTGCATTCAAATTGACCTATATTGACAAAGTACCCTAACTACTAGAGTGGTATAACTGACAAACGTGTGTGTGTCGTACCATGTCATCCTCAAGGATAAATAGGTTATGAAATCTCACACCAAAAACCCTTGTCACTAACCTAATTTTTTTTCCATGCCCGAAAAGTATAGGGTTGTTTCACTATATAAAAAAAATAACAATTAATCTTGCATAATACAATATTTATGTCCATTTCCAACTATTGGTTATTTTTCTTAGGCAGATTTAGTGTGTTAATTCAGAAAAACCTATTTAAGTAATGGTGTAGTGTCGACCTATTTTATTAGACGGTTCATAATATATTTTTTAACACTAATTTATTTATTTTAATGTTCAATTTATGTTTCATCAACTGTTGTTAGCTCTAAACATTACGAGTACTCCATATACATAAATTCAACATAACTCAACCCATACCCGAACTTGAACCACAAACCCGATCATGAATGATAGCTATACAGGCCCATATTATACGAGATCAATTTTAGTCGAAAGTCAAAACAAACATCCCCGCAACACGATATTATCATGACCCACGAAATAAGCAAAGAAACGTATTCTTACAAAGGTGAAAAATAGAATGAAAACCTAAAATTGCGTCAAAATATCGCGTCGGAATCTGCAAATCGTTTATCTCTTTCTCTCTCCTCTAATTGTAAGTTCTTACATCAATCTCTCTTCTCCTTATTTTCTCTTTTTTTTTTTTTTCATTTATCTCTATTTTTTAACATTTTCCTAATTAGATCATCATGAAATTAACTATCAATCAATGAATCTTTCTTATGAGAAACGTTAATTCAATATTGAGCTAGAGTATATACTCTTGGATTGAAATGGGGTTTTTCTGATGTAGTAATTTTGTGTAGGATTCTAGTATAAAATTGGGGATTTTTTTTTTTTGAAATTAATTGAATTTGACTGAAATAATCTTGCAATTGGTTATGGAGTTAAAGGAACTCCGAGCTCACACCCCTCAAATTGAATCGGATTGTTGTCACATTATTCGAGAATAATTGTATCAAGTGCACTTTTTATTTGGAATGTGACTGAAATAGAAAACGAATGTGACTGACATAGATAATGGATGTAGTTTAAAAACTTTGCCAATCATGTAAATGTAATATGATGTTTTTGGGGTATATGAGATTCTACATCTAGCTTAATCCAGTAGAATGTACATTTCTTATGATATTCAAGTGTTTTTAATTAATCATATAACAGTAAGCCTTTGCTAAAGTTGTATAAGTATGAATTTTCGGAATGGTCAGTTGTATAATTGCTGCATTGCAGTTATTTGTGGATGCTTATTCAGATTCGATATCGGTCTGACAAGTTTTATGTCCTGCAGAAATCAGAACATATTGGTGCAAAAGATGCAAAGTCATACATTATTCATTTATTCTGTAAAGTGCAGACTACCATAAAATCGTAATAGATGGGCTATGCTTATGCATTTCGGCATCAGTCATCAGAAGTAAGCACATGTTTGTTTTCCAGTCCAGTATGAAATATGAATACATAACTACTTGGTATGTTAGATGTTACATAATAAACTTTGCTAATCGACACCTTCGTTGATCAGCCTGTGTTGGGCTAATCAGTGTTTGCTCACATCATGTGTGTTGCTTTGTTGTTGTATAAACAAATGAGCATACAGATTGCTCTTGCAGATAGTAAATCAGTTACAAGTCATTTGATGCCTTTCTATAAGTATGAAGTGTTTCGTTAACAAATTAGTGAGGCATTTTCTCTTGTTAATATATAGAGATTGATTTGCATTCATTTTGTGTTAGTGGTTCGTGAAAAGGATGTCTGTTGGGAGTATGGTGATAAGCTGGATGGGAATAAGGTGAGATGCAAGTTCTGTTTAAGAGTTTTGAATGGGGGCATCAGTAGATTAAAGCATCATTTGTCTCGGCTTCCCAGTAAAGGAGTGAATCCATGCAGCAAAGTAAGGGACGATGTAACCGATAGAGTTCGGGCTATCATTGCAGCAAAAGACGACATTAGAGAAATTCCTGTTGCTAAGAAGCCAAAGCTTGGAGAAACTAGTTCTCCAGGCAGTATTCTCCCAAATAAACCTCTGTTGTTTGTGGAGACATCATCTCCTGTTGCAAAAGGGTTTCCTGCACTGAACCAAATAGATAATTTTTCCTCCTCAAGTGATGAAGAAAATGCAGAGGAAAGTATTGCTTTGTTTTTCTTCGAGAATAAGTTGGATTTCAGTGTGGCAAGATCTTCATCTTACCAGCAAATGATTGAAGCAATAGGAAAATGTGGGTCGGGATTTTCTGGACCCTCTGCTGAAACACTGAAGACTAAATGGTTGGAAAGGATCAAGTCCAAAGTGAATCTGGGGTTGAAGGACACTGACAACGAGTGGGTCAGAACAGGCTGTACAATTATTGCAGACACATGGACTGATAACAAGTCCCGGGCAATGGTCAACTTTTTGGTTTCTTCCCCTTCAAGAACCTTCTTTCACAAGTCGGTAGATGTCTCTTCTTATTACAAGAACATTAAATCTTTGGCTGATTTATTCGATTCTGTCATTCAAGAAATCGGCCCTGAGAGTGTGGTGCAGATAATCGTCGATGGGGCACTCAGTTACTCAGGTGTGGCAAACCATATTTTGCAGAACTATGGAACGATCTTTATTTCCCCATGTGCTTCTCACTGCGTAAATTTGATACTTGAAGATTTTTGCAAGATTGACTGGGTGAATAGATGTATTGTACAGGCACAAACTATCACAAGATTTATCTACAATAGTACGTCTTTGCTTGAATTTATGAAAAAGTTTACTGCTGGCCAGGATGTATTAAGAACAGGCATTACCAAGGCTGTTTCTAGTTTCCTCTCTCTGCAAGCATTGTTTAAGCAAAGGAGTAAGCTGAAGCTTATGGTCAATAGTGCCGAATATTCTGTAAACTCTGCTTGTGTAAACAAACAACAGAGCATTTCCTGTGCATCAATTTTGGATGATAATGAATTTTGGAGAGCAGTTGAAGAATGTATTGCTATTTCTGAGCCATTCTTAAGAATTCTGAGGGAAGTAGCTGACGGTAAACCTGCAATTGGGTTCATTTATGAGCTGATGACAAAGGCCAAAGAATCGATACGGACATACTATATTATGGATGAGAGCAAGTGCAAGACGTTCTTAGATATAGTGGACAAGAGCTGGCACAACCAGCTTCACACATCATTACATTCAGCTGGAGCATTTTTGAATCCTTGCATCCAGTATAACCCTGAAGTCAAGTTTTTAGCTGCTATAAAAGAAGACTTCTTCAATGTTTTGGAAAAATTGCTTCCAACACCTGAGTTAAGGCAAAATATCACAAATCAAATTCTTTTGTTCCAGCGAGCAACTGGAATGTTTGGGTGTAACCTAGCTAAAGAAGCACGTGATACAGTTTCACCTGGTATGTATCGATTCACCATTCTTGAAATTTTACTGCTATCAATCTATCATGCTAAGTACTTCATTTGACATTTGCCAAGGAATTTCCCTATGCAATACCCAAATCCCGTAGTTTTACACCATTCCCTTCCATAATCACATCGTGTTCTTGGTATGTTGTGGTTTTCTGCAAAATTGATCGACTGGTGGTTCATTTGTCCTGTGGGTGCACTGAAGCTCGTCTTTTAGGTAAAATTATTGCCTTGAAGTTAATTGATTCGGACATGTTTTACAGGAGAATGGTGGGAGCAATATGGAGATTCAACACCAGTTTTGCAAAAAGCAGCCATAAGAATCCTTAGTCAAGTTTGCAGTACTCCAACCTTCGACAAGCAATGGAGTGCATTTCAGCAAATTCATTCCGAGAAGAGGAACAAAATCGACAAAGACTCATTGAACGATCTTGTCTACATAAATTACAACCTCAAGTTAGGTAGACCGAGGAGCAAGTCTTTTGACTTGGATCCAATCCAGCTTGATGACATTGATATGACTTCAGAATGGGTGGAAGAAATTGAGACCCCAAGCCCTACTCAGTGGCTTGATCGCTTTGGATCCTACGATGTTAGTGACTTGAACACAAGACAATTCAGCACTGCGTTTTTTGGTGCAAATGATTTTGGCTTGTGACTATAGGATCCAAAAACCGTGTTTGTATCATGTAAATGAGTATATCCTTTTAGTTCAGCTGTAAAATTATCTTGTAATAGCTGTTGTAATAATGAAATCTTTTGTCCCAATTTTCTTCGATATAATGTTGGCATTGGTTGATATAAAGATCCCTTACACAAGGAAACAGGTTCTATAGAATCGACCAAGGATGATATGCAGGTAAGTAGGTTGTGTATGAACAGGTTACATCTGAAATAAGGATCGTCTGAAGCTTTTTTTGACAGGAAATGCACGCCGATAATGTGACAACTATTTCCGAACCAAAAGAGTAGAAAAATTACCCTCTGAATTCTCAATCTTACTGTATTATTTATGAATTATGCAATACAGAATCCTTTTCTCAACCTAGAAACAACTTCGAATCATCAAAACACAGTATGCTCAAGTATAAAATTTCAAGTGAATTCGAAACTGAACAACTTTTGATTAACAAACAAAGAAAGTCTCAATCAGATTATTCAAAAAACAAATCAACACAAATTCTCAAAGATGTATTACTCTTGAATCTTGATTCAAGCTAAACATCCTCACTCGAACCGCCATTCGATTCGATGTTGCCCAATTCAGCCATCATCTTATCTCTATTCTGCATTTGCCTTTCCACAGCAACCATGTAGAAACCTGTATAATTTTCAATTAAAATCAACAACAACAACAATTTGAATGAAAGGACGAAAAAATAAGTAAAGAACATATTACCAACTGCACTTCCAAGAGCACAAAGCCAAAGAAGCCTCATTGACCATTTATCAGGTATTGTTCCTCTCGCCATTTTCTTGTCTTCCCTTAAACAAGAACCAAAAAAAAAAAAATCATTCAAGGGTTTGCTTAATTGATCAAATCAAATAATTAATATAACTCGACAAATAAAAATGAATTAAAAAGAGTAAATTTGTGAGTTGTGAGCTAGGGTTTGCTTAATTGATCAAATCAAATAATTGAAATTTCATATTTGAAATTCCGAATTTGAAATGAAATGCTAGTATCCAAACACTACCTAAAATCATTCAAGTAAGTGATCGAACAATTTAAAAGAGAGAGATTATAAAAGAGTACCTGGTTGGTAATTAGGAGAGAGATCCACCGATATTTTGTTATGTTATTTAAGTTCTTAAAATGGGAGCAAAATTTCCGAAGGTTTACTGGTTAAGGGTTTTAGACCTCAAAGTACCCTTAATCGATCGAGGAACCTCATAATAAGTAACCTGATCATACGGTATGACTTATCACGTGTAAAATTTGTGATTCTTTCAGGTTAAAAATTGAAAAAATAATAAAAATAAAAAATATAATCACTCTTAAATGGTCAAATCTTATTGTCTACAATGGACACAACCTCTATTGGAAGAGCTATTTAAAAAAAAAAAAAAAAAAAACCTCTATTAGAAGAATATGAGGCATCATAATTCATACTACAGCTGTCAATTCAGGTAAACGGGTCGGGTAAGAGTGGGTTGGGTTGGGTCAATTCTGATTATTTTCATAACCTATGCGGGTCAGGTTCGGGTTGGGTCATGCTTGAGTCGGGTTACGTCGAGTTATACTTCTTATCGGGTTTAGGTCGAGTTACATTCGGGTCAGGTGAACAATAGGTCAACTTTAATTCGGTTTTTCGCAGGATAAAACAGGTTAGGGTAATTCTCGAATTCGGTTCAAGTCAATAATTTGCGGGTTAGAATCAGGTCAGGTCATTCTCGTGTTTGAGTCGGGTTCGGTTCAAGTAAATAATTTGCATATTATAATCAGGTTGGGTCATTTTCAAGTCAGGTCATTCTCGGGTCCAAGTCGAGTTCGGTTCAAGTGAATAATTTGCTGGTTATAATCAGGTTGGGTCATTTCCAAGTCGGGTCATTCTCGGATTCAAGTCGGGTTATGTTCAAGTCAATAATTTGAAAGTTGTTTCGGGGTTTTCTGATGTCCTGCGGGAGAGTTACAATTCCGAGACTGGAACCGGACGCCTGTACCTGCAAAATAACGGAGACTCCTGAGAGCTCCGCCTCCAACGGTCAAGTTAGTACCTGATTAAGGAGTAATTAATACAGAAATTAAAGTAATAAGGTCTCTCTAGGTGAGAGTATTTAATGTAGGTAATCTGCTTTGCTAGCGAGATCAGCCGGTTATTAGTGTGTTCTGTCAATTATTCGGTCCCTTGATTAATGAGGATTAATCGAGTATTTATAGCCTTGGGAAGCGTGCAACTCTCTAGGTTTAAGGTAAACCTAGGGCCGATCGGGCTTCTAGACTGAAATGGGCCTTGATGGCCGGTTGTCCCATTTGGCATGGGTGGACACGTGGCGTGTCTTAAGTGGTCCATGGAGGACGCGTGGCGGAACCTGGTTGGTCCACTTGTCAAACGGTGCTTGGTGGATAAAAATCCCCTAATCATTTGCCCCTCACAGGTGGCACGCGACTGGTCACGTGTCGCCTGTGACAGGCGTCGCACGGTGACAGGCGACGGCCCGTTACAGGTGTCACCTTGCAGACGGCCGGGAGACTCTCCCGCCCAAATTTGAATTCGGAGGCGACCCTTCGCCTTCTCATTTTGCCTATAAAAGGAAGTGCTGACTTCGGTCATTTTCACATTTGAGAATTTTTGCGAGAACATTCGGACCCCTGAACTTGCTCTGACATTTTCGGACTTTTTCTGCCTACCGCCTGTTCTGACAAGCCGACTGACCCGAACTTTCAGGACTTCATCAACTGTCATCCATTCAGGTAACTCAGTTCTCTTACTCTTAATTTTCTTTTTATTTTTTGAAATGGCACCATGGAAGCACACGACACGCCCTAAGTTAGTGATCAGCCGGTCACCGGGGACGGCTGAATCTAGGACTAGGAGTGCCGCCTGCCCTTTTCTGGACCCATCTTTGCCCTTTATACAAAGTCCGACTGAATCTGTGTCTATGCAGAACGTGATGGCCAGAACAAAAAAGACTGCTAGAATATCAAACTCAGACGGCTCCTCCCAAAGGGTACTCCTTAGCGAAACATCTGACCAGGCGCCAGATGTGGAACGAGGCGACTGTCAAGCTGACAGTTCTGAGAGAGGGACCAAGGTGTTCCCTTCTCATCTAACCGTGGACATGTCCAATTTACCTTCTGCTCCTTCTAAGGGAGAGGAGGCGGGCCCCTCTAGGAGAGGGGAGGAGTCGTCCTCTTCGGACTCGTCAGGGGACGAGTCCGATTCCAGCTCTTCTGACCACAGTTCTTCTGACTCAGAAGAAAAACATAACCGCCTACAAGAGGCGAGAAGTTCCCATGCAGTGGAGAAGGGGGATAATTGGGCAGAGCCGTCCGCCTCTTACAGAGAGGAAAACACCCCCTACTACTGCAGGGTGCCCCGGGGCCGGATCGCAACCATGCGAGACAACGTGGCGAGCTTTATTGCTAACCACAAAATGGGCCCGGAGTATTTACTGTTTGTGCCGGATCCAGAAGATACTGTCGTCTGGCCGGCTGGTACCAGCTATGGTGACGGCTGTTTTGGCTGCTATGTGGCGGCCATCAAAGCTGGTCTGCGCTTCCCATTACATCCGGCTGTTCAGCGGATTTTAGATGGGTATGATCTGGGGTTATGGCAGTTAGCCCCCAACTCTTGGGTAAACGTACTCGGCTATGTGGCCGGGTGCGAACTGAACGGGGTGGAGCCAAGTTTTGAGGCTTTCGCCCACATGAACTATCTCAGCCGGACCCCTAAGTCGGGAGGTACCGGCTGGTATCAACTAACAAGCCACAGGGGTTACCTCATGACGAGAGGTAAGGCAAACAAATGGAAGGATTGGCGGAACACCTTCCTTATTATCGAGAGTTCAGACACGGAGCTGAACAAACGATTTAACAAGTGGAACAGGGATCCGCCTCTTCTTGCAGGCGGCCGCAGCATGCCGCCTGTTCCCCCAAAGGCTAAAAGAGAGATCCTAGACAAAGGACTCTTCAAAGTAGAGACTAGGGTGAACTCTACTTCAGGGGTACGAGAGCAAGTACCCCTACACTGCGTCCCGAGCTTCAAGTGGCTCTATGATGAGTACTTCTTGGCCGCCTGTGGCCTCGGCAGTCGGTGCTCTAGAGGTAGCCGGCCTGACGAATACTCTGTTCACGCCTTGTTTACTTGGGATTTTTACTAACTTTGCTGTTTATTTCTTTCAGCCGACGCCATGAGTAAAATAACAGCATCTAAGACTGCGGCGGCCATGCTGCGGGTTTCGCTAATGAAGCAGTCGTACGCCGACTCCCCCAGCAAGGAGGCACCCTTGGTAAGCTTTGAAAACTCTTCCCCTTTAAGTTGTATTATGCATATACTAACTCTTTTTGTTTTCAGTCTGGCACTCCAAGGGCTTCTTCCTCGCAACAGCCGGACCCCAAGGCCCGGAGGACGACTGTTGCAAGCTCTCCTGGGTCTTCCAGGAAAACAGTGGCGGCTGAGAAGCAGCCGGCCACTTCTTCAAAAACCCAAGCGGGGCCGCCTAGATGTATGGACCCTTGCTTGTAAAAACTCACTCTTGCTTCCTTCTTGATTAGGTCTAACTTGTTTTTCCTTCTGCTTAATGCAGCCGGCCCCCAGGGACTTGACTTGGTTGAGGTAGCCAAGTCAATGGTTAAAGTAGTTCCTCCCTCTGACAGGGAGGCGGTCAAGGGTGCCGGCACCCTTGACCTCGATGGAATTTCGGGGATCCTAGCTGAGGTATACCCTTTTGAAGTTCCAGGACGCCTGTTAACCCTTATGATTGGAAACTGACGCCTGTTTTTCTTTGTACTTAGGCCCTGCTCCGAGTCAACAGCCTTCGCAAGCCGATTGATCGGAAAAACAAAGAGGTAAAGGCCGCAAAGGCTATGGCCGCCTCCAGCTGTGATAAAGCAATGTTTCAAATTGCCCAAAATGAAGTACTGACCATTGATCTTCTTTATTATCAGGCGCAGGCGACCGCCGCTGTTCGGGCTCAGCTAGAGGCGGCCCAAAAGAAGGTTGACGAGCTGGAGGGGACCGTCACCAAACTTAAAGCCGAGCTGAAGCCCCTTCGTCAGAAAATGCACTCTTACGAAGCCATGGAGAAATCTTTGGCTAACGTAAAAGAACGCCTGGTGAACCAGGAGAAGAGTCTTACCCAAGAGCTCTCGGACAAGGCCGAGCAAGAGAAACAAGAGCTCGTCCGGGAGATGGTGGAAGACTCCGCCCAAATCCAACGCATGACCTGGGAACGACTGTTCCCCAGTGCCGACTTTGCCTCATGGGAAAGAACGTACCGCCAGTGTTCGGAAATATATAATCAACAGATCCTGGCGGCTGCTGAAGAAGAGGCGATGGACGTTGCGTTGGAGGAGGAAGAGGCTGTTGTGGCGCTTGTGCCACTTGGGGGTAAGGCATCAAAAGATGATGCAGCTAAGGCCGAGTCCAGCAAGAAGAGTGCTGACCAGGCGGCTGCTGCTGATACTGAACTGCCCCCTTCTTAAGCTTTAAGTATATTTTTTCTTTTCACGGCCTGCGTGCCGTTTGCTTTGTAATTACCCGGCCAGGGGGCCGGGGTTTTGAATATTCTGCTGGTCTTTTATGGCCGGCTCATTTTAATCAAATTTTTTGTTTTTGTTCAAATTTGTCTAAGTATTTGAAATTTGCTCACTAGACAGACTGTTGTGTATGGCCGAACGTTAAGACAGGTACAAATAGTAAGTATGCCGCCTATGCCCCTGGACGACTGGTTGTCTGTTTCCAGGATAGATGATCAGTCGGCCATTTAATCAATCGGTATTCGAACTCTTTATTCAATTTGACCAAGTAAATAGAATTACCAAGTAGCCAAGGAATTTAAGTAGGAAAACAAGCGGCGGGTACCGGTTGTTTCCCTTTATTGCCAATGTTGGCCTCTAATTTGTTATTTGTTAACCTAGCAAGAGTATTGGTTGAGAGCCTTTGTTTATAAAAACAAGTGGACGACTCGTACCTTTTAGGCTCAGTACTAAGTTTGAGTGACTATTAAGTTAACATAGGAGTTACTTAGTCTTCGTCACAATCTTGATTGAGTAGTAAAGGTATCAGGCGGCGTAGGCCGGCTAGACCCCTTGATTTACCAATGTTTGTTGGCTATTTACTCAATAGGTTATCCAGTAGGAATAGGGGTTCGAGTGCCCTTGTTTGTATAAAACAGGCGGACGACTCAAACTTTTTAGGTTCCATACCAAATTTGAAGGAGTGACTATGAGTTAACTT